ATATATATACATTTTCAACATACGTTTTTTCTTAATTTCGGTACCATCGGAGTGAATTTGGCTTTCATTGTGTGCCGTCCACTTTCGATGACCTTCCACAATTCTAAACACCGATCTCGTGACGATGGGTGTTCCCTCTGCCATTTTTTGTGCTGACCGCGTCGACCAGACACCAACAATCTTTTGCCTTTTCGATTTCGATGATCGACGTGACTTGTTTTTTGGCCCCCCTGTATGGCTAGAATGAGCTCGCCGAGCTGTATCCGAGGGTATGCTCATATTACGACATTGGGTTTTGGCCGGCGCCACTTGGCGACACCTTAGCGCCACAACTTTTCTCAACAACATCTGTATAAACTTGCTTACTGGGGCTATTCAGTGCCCTGTTCACGAAAGTGGCATTCATTTCTAGCCGTGGCGCCATTTGGCGCCATTAGGTGCCGATTTGGCGCCACTAGCGCCACTTTGGCGACACGACCTTTCCCAAAAAAATCTGTATAAACTTGCATAATGGGGTTTCTCGGTGCCCTGATCACGAATGTAACATTCATTCCTAGCCATGGCGCCGTTCGGTGCCATTTGGTGCCAATTTGGCGCTACCCCAGTTTTCGCCAAAATTGATAAAAACATGCATGGGGTGGTGTGGTTCGATGCCCTAATCACGAATCGCCAGCCTTAGCAGAGTGATCGTAGAGTCCATTAGCGCCGGCGCAGAAAAAAATGGACGTCATACTCGTAATTAGGATGTCAAGCGACGTGCTCAACAATTTTGGTGATCTAGTGTTTGGCGCCAGCACCGATGGCACGGGCGCCAAACAGTTAGGACCAAGCGGTTATGACACTAAGTTCAGGAAATTAGCCGGCGCCTGTGGCACAAGAGCCAAGCGGATGTAATATTTGGGTCTATGGATCACGCTATCACGAGACAAGTTTGCGCCCAGTCTGCTGTTGCGAACTACTTTGGTGCCGGCGGTAGATGGTAGGTGCCAAGCGCACAAGATATTCGTACACTAATGAGACCACTCTAGTTGATTTGGTGATCTGAGGTATCTTTTGGCCGACTCTTGACCCCTGATTTCCTTGAAGTTCCCTCCATCAATTACACTGATGCAGAGTCCGATCGATATGCCTTGGTCGGCTCAGACTGTATGTGTTATAATGATCACGTGAATGTGAACTATAAAGACATGCAGTAATCACGTGAACAAGCGGCTATGGTGAGCGCAGAGCCGCCAGCGCCGCAAGCTCACGTGATTTATGTATGCTCTGCAAATGACGATCACGTGACCATTCCACAAACCAGGCTGCGAGTTTATAAAGATTTTGGTGAAAAAAGTAATGGCGCCAAATTGGCACCAAATGGCACCGAACGGCGCCATGGCTAGGAATGAATGTTACATTCGTGATCAGGGCACCGAGAAACCCCATTATGCAAGTTTATATTTTTTTGGGAAAGGTCGTGTCGCCAAAGTGGCGCTAGTGGCGCCAAATCGGCACCTAATGGCGCCAAATGGCGCCACGGCTAGAAATGAATGCCACTTTCGTGAACAGGGCACTGAGCCCCAGTAAGCAAGTTTATACAGATGTTGTTGAGAAAAGTTGTGGCGCTAAGGTGTCGCCAAGTGGCGCCAAATGGCGCCAAATGGCGCCGGCCAAAACCCAATGTCGTAGAATGTGAGCATACCCTCGGATACAGCTCGGCGAGCGACATATGTGGGTATCCATACAAAAGGAACAGAACAGCTCTATAAAGGAAAAACGAAAAAAACGCGGATTAGCGTTTTTTTCGTAATTTTTTGAACACTTACGGCGGGTACTGTACATTCTCATGAATGGGCTGATTCAATTCGGTAAGGTACGCTATTGCGTCTGGTGCGATCTTTATCTGCGAGGTCAGTATTACACTGTAGTTCTCAGCGGACGGTTGGGCGTGTCGGGCAGTATGAGTGTTCACACCGTTGAGGCCGTTCTCTGCCTTCTTGTTGAAACGCGCATGCGACAAAAAGTGGTAGAAAACGAGTAATACGAAGGATATGATACAGTATTGTCACTTGCCCGCTTCAACAACTGGTGGGAACGAGTTTGGCACCGCGCCAAACGCAGCCGCACTGACACGCCCAACCGTCCGCAGCGAACTACACTATAGATCTTAGAATAATTTGATTCAGCCAGAACTTCAGCTAGTCTATTGTCTCTTAGCTATGCGAGTCGCGAAAAAGTTCCAGTTTTTGCCTGAACTTTATGCTTTTGAAAGTCAACAGAAAGTGAGAAAAGTTTTCCATCATGTTGTACAGATCTCACTGGTAGGAACTCCCAGTTGTGATGGAAAATTTGAAGGCAGACAAAAACGCTTTCACTTGTAGGCTCACCCAATACGTTGATTTCAGATTGAATGGTCTCGATATTTCCGTTCCATCGCACCGCCTTCTCTCCATAAATACTTTGCGACTAATCCGGATATTGTGGTCGCCGAAATTGATTATATGAGGAAGTAATATGTGCAGGTAATAGGTGACAAATGATAACACTACGGATTATCTTTAGCGTTTCCAAGCTGCTACACTCAACTGACCCTCGGATCATTACCAATTATGTCTTCATTCGGTATGTCTCTTCCTGGAGTGGAGAACTCGGAGAACGATTCGATGACGTTTCACAGGTTTCACACATTACTAAAACCTATGGTCCACAATACAAAAGGCAAAAGCAAAAGTAGTTAGCGAGATTCTAAATTTTAAGAGGAACTTGGATTAGCAAATGAACGTAAGCTAACTTATGGCTTGTCCTACCATAATATATCACACTTAGACATGAGGTTATATCGTACCTATGGACCTTTTTCTATGAGACGTATTGTCATAGAGGGTAAAAACGTAAAGTTTCAATATACCCCTGGTTGCAGATAGCTTCTGCGGTCTCGTTTTTTGACCCCGGTTGATGTCACTAGTGGTGGTCACTCCGATAATGCACGTTTTCTGTTGAAGGGGGGCGTCTTGCATTTTTATTGCATTACTAGTTCGTTTCTTTTGTAAAACCTCTGAATACTTGAAGGTGGACAAAGTTTGCCAAGCCACCTGGTGAATGGCATTTGCGTTCGTTGGTATTCCACAGACCACAATGGTATTCCACAGTCCATAGGTACTATATTGAAAAATCGACACGTGGTCTCTACAGACTTCGGCAGGCATCAATTGGCGGCTTATACGCAGTTCTCCACTCAATCTCGGCTAAACAGGTCACTGGGAAGTAGCAAAAGCGCTAAATGCCTCCCCTCCCCACCAGTGCAAAAATGAACTTCTGCTCGCCATTAAAACACGCTTGGGGAGCTCGTGTCTGGGGAAGTGGGAATAACTCGAGAAGGACAACGCTCCTATTTCGACCCCTCCGACAAGCATTGCACCTGACGCTCTGCTGTTCTGCGGGAACTTTACCGATCGGCTTTTTCACAGGAATCCATGTCAAAGGATGGGGAATTGGTAGAGGTCATGAAATGCCGTCACATCTACCGATAGCAACACCTGTAGTCGACAGTTGGCGGGCAGTCCCTCCCGGAGAGGCGCCCCATGCGCTGTGTACATTTATAAGGTCGCTATGCACATGCGCAAGGTGGTTTCCATCTCTTCATCGCTCGA